CCTACCTCCCCACGAGTTAGAGGTTCCGTAGTTACAGATGTGGCGGATGCACGAGATTGCACCGTATGCTAGGGCTTCGCGGCGGTGGAGTACCTGCCTCGCACAAGAAGAGAAACGAGAAGTATGAGAAAGTTTGAGCAAGAAAGAAATCAAGCCATGAGACTCAAGAGAAAGATAGCCGAGTCATTGTGACTCTTAGAAACCTCCACAGATAAGTATTTTATTTACAAACGAGGGTATAAGTATAATTATCCTATAGCATCTTTTTTCATAATGAAAATGTTTGCGCGAGATTGCATATCGAGAATGTTTGTACTAGATTGCATATTGAGAATGATTACCCGAGATTGTATATTGAGCTGAGTGTGATTTCCTTAGTTTCATATTGATGTTTTATATTTCTAGTTTGCATGATGAGAACTTGAAAGCATGAGAATAATTTCTTATTGATTGATGGCACGAAATTGCTTCATAAGTTTAGGTGTTAGCATGAGATTGTTATTGAGTTGTTATATTGGATTGAGATTTTCTATGTTAAGTATGCGATAGTATGAGCATGTTGTTAGGTTTGATATCGTTGAAGTATGCCTATTTGATAAGTTAGGTTGTAAGCATATAGAAGGCTTTGTGGTTTATATTAAGGTTTTGTCTAAGTGATTGAGGTTGCTTAATTTGGGAATGTTAATCAAATGTTTTTCCAAAGTATATACTGTAGTATTTTACAGGGTTGAGTGTGGTTATACTTAGCTTCGTGCTAACAGGTGTTTTCTATTTGTCTATTTGCAAAACCCCTTTCAGGTGGGCCCATCTTTTGAGATTGCTCGAGTTAAACTAGTGTAGTTAGTTGCTATGTAGTCTAAACTCTTTGATCTTTTATCGTTGTTTTTGAGATTATGGATGTAGACACCTTTTGTTTTGTTAGTGATAGACACCGGGGTACTTTTTCCCCAAGTTACCTTTGAACCGATGGATTCGCCAGCCCCTAACCCTTCATTAATGAAGGAGGTGGATTACGATCTCGCCCGTTCTCTACTGGGCCCCTCAGTGGACATCGAGAACCTGGGCAGTCGTTCTATCTCCGATCCACTAGAGGGCTTCGTGGGTATCCATCTTCATTCCGTAGCTTTTGGCTTTCAGATACCTCCTCACCCCTTCGTTTCCCCGTTCTTCCGTTACTTCAATCTGGTCCCTGGCCAGCTGTTCCTAACTCGCACTGACTCCATGTTTGTTTCGTGGTCCTCTGCGATTGGCTTCATTGTGAGCCGACCATAGAGTTACTCCGACGGATATACACTACGAACAAGGTCAGTCCACACTCTAAGGGCTTTGTCCAAATATCCCATCCCCCGGGGTATGTCATCTTTGAGGGCCTCCCAGACTCCGTGAAGGACTAGAAACCCTTCTTTTTCTTCGTTCGACCTACCCCTCCTCATCCATTTTTTTCCTTTCCGACTGCCTGGTCGACCACTCTCTTCAAGGTGAACACCAGGCGACCTCAATTTACCAAAGAGGTGACTCGAGGTGCCAAATTCTTGAAGAGGCTGGGACCCTTCTGCGTATACCACTTGTCTCGCTTGAGGGCCGTGGAGAAGACGGGTCTTCTGGCCATGGGGGCGGCGACCTCAGGTAGTTTTTGCTTGATATTCTCTTCACTTCCTTATCTTTCCTGTGTGCGCGACTAACCGTTTATGCATTTCTGTAGGTCTCAACGACTCAGCCTCCGACACCTCGTCCGGCAACACCGATTCCGACGAAGACCAGATGGCCGACCGTGCTGAGAAGATGCTCCGTCGCACGGCGCAACGAACTGCGGGTGCCGCCTCATCATCTTCCTTGCGTCCTCCCCCGGCACCGACTGCCATGCCCGTCTCCCCTTCTAGCCCCGTGGTCAATCTCTGCAATTCTCCTGAGAGCTCGCCAACTCGCTCCACTTCCCTTTCTGCGGCGAGTACTCGGTCGAAGAGGCCACGGGAGCCGTCGCCGACTCCTCAACCTAAGAAGATCCACCTAAGTCTGGAAGTCGACGCGGATGCCCTTATCTGGAAGGGCACCTTCCCCGTCCAAACTTGGGCAGAACGGGTGATTATACCCAAATATCAGGAGTCGGTCGTCGTTCTGAACGACGAATTGATCCTAGTGGCCTCCCTTTTCCGGTCCTACCGAGTACGTTGTCTTCCTCTCGCTTTCTTTCATTTTGATTGCGCTATACGTTGATGCTAACACTGCTAACACCCCTTTTCCCTTTTCTAGAACCTCTCTTTTCAGCTGGAACTGTGAAGGCGAATTCGCACCCTGAGGATCGGGGTGAAATCTCTTCATACCCAGCTCTCCAAAGAGCAAGAGGGCTGTCTGCAGCATCAAGCGGCCTTCATAAAGGAGAAAGAGGACTAACCGCCAAAGATTCTCAAGCTGACGCAATTCTGGGAGGCGGAGAAGAAAATGGTGGATACGGCCGTGGCTGACTACATGAGGTCAGCGGACTTCAAGGCCGATGCCATGGTCGAGGCGGAGGGTCGCCTGGAGGAGCTTGCGAGGAGATGGCTGGCGACTCCGGAAGGGGACGACTACTTGGTCGATATGGGAGAGTGTGACTTCCAACTGGGTTACCGCACGGCTCATCACATGATCTACGACGCTCTGCTGGCCCGCGAGCCCTCCTATACTCTTGAAGGCTGGAGTTTGGAGCCACATCAGGATTCTTTGTCGCCCGCGGGCACCGCGGATGTTGTTCTGCCGGTCGCTTTACCCCAGGTGGTTGTCAAGGGCGCAATGGAGATTCACGACCCCGTGGAGCTCTCGGTCGGCGAGGTGCCCCTCCAATCTGAAGACCCGTTGGACCAACGACGCGGGGGGGGGGGGGGGCTACGCAAGGGCCGCAAAGAGGTCGCAGTCGGTTCCCAGTAGTTTTAGAGCCCTTGTATTTTCTCCTCTTTTGTAATGGGGCCCCGTCCCCCTTTTAAACCCTCGAATATAAGGCATTTTTTTTTGTTCTTCCTGTTTTGCCTTTTATTTTATTATCTTTCTCTATTTGCCGAGTCCTTTAGCCGAGGCGGCCTCTGGCTTCGAAAAACATCTATGAGAAGCATCTAAGGGTTAGTGCCATTGCTTCTTTTCTTGCCGAGTCACTAAGTCGAGGCGACCACTGTAGGCTTTTTCTAAAAAACGCCTAAGGGTCAATGCCCTTGTTTCTTTTCTCTTTTGTTGCCGTGTCCCTCAGTTGAGGCGACCCCTGTAGGTTTTTTTCTAAGAAACATCTAAGGGTCAGTGCCCTTGTTTCTTTTATCTTTTCTTGCCGAGTCCCTCAATCGAGGCGACCCCTGTAGGCTTTTTTAAGAAACGCCTAAGGGTCAGTGCCCTTGTTTCTTTTCTCTTTTCTTGCCAAGTCCCTCAGTCGAGGCGACCCCTGTAGGCTTTACCCCTGTAGACTTTTTCTAAGAAACGTCTAAGGGTCAGTGCCTTTGTTTCTTTTCTCTTTTCTTGCCGAGTCCCTCAGTCGAGGCAACCCCCTTTAAGCTCTTTTCTAAGAAACGTCTAAGGGTCAGTGCCCTTGTTTCTTTTCTCTTTTCTTGCCAAGTCCCTTAGTCAGGGCGACCCCTGTATGATTTTTCTAAGAAATGTCTAAGGGTCAGTGCCCTTGTTTCTTTTCCTTTTTCTTGCAGAGTCCCTCAGTCGAGGCGACCCCTGTATGTTTTTACTAAGAAACGTCTAAGGGTCAGTGCCCTTGTTTCTTTTCTCTTTTCTTGCCGAGTCCCTCAGTCGAGGCGACCCCTGTAGGCTTTTTCTAAGAAACGTCTAAGGGTCAGTGCCCTTGTTTCTTTTCCCTTTTCTTGCCAAGTCCCTCAGTCGAGGGGACCCTTGTAGGCTTTTTCTAAGAAACGTCTATGGGTCAGTGCCCTTGTTTCTTTTTTCTTTTCTCGCCGAGTTCCTTAGTCGAGGCGACCCCTGTAGGTTTTTTTGTGCGGATTAGACGTTTTTATTAAATAAACTTGTTTGTGAGAAATACATCGTTAACAAAAATTTTACTGGTAATATTTCTTCAAGTGAATCACGTTCCAGGTCCGGTCGATGGGTTCCCCTTCTAAGGTCTCTAAGTTGTAAGTGTTTGCTCGGACGACTGCTGCAATACGATAGGAACCCTCCCACTTTACCGCGAACTTGCCCTCCTCTGTGGGTCGGCTGGCTTGCCGGTCTTTGATGACTAAATCCCCAACCTGAAAGGCACGGACTCACATCTGCTTCTCACGATATCGCTTCACGGCTTGTTGGTATTCCACTATTCGGGCGTGTGCCACCTCAATTCGTTCTTCCAGAAAATTTTTCTTGATTCTCAAGCTTTCCTCATTTCCTTCATCGGTATAATGATGGACTCGGTGGGTGGGCTCAACGATTTCTATCAGTACCTTGGCCTCGAAGCAATAAGCCAATGAGAACGGACTTTCTCCCGTAGCTCATCTCTAAGTGGTCCGATAGGCCCACAACACACGATCCAGCTCGTCAGCCCAGTTGCCTCCGACATCCTCGAGCTTCTTGCGAATACCATCCACAATAGTGTCGTTTACGTTCTCGACCTGACCGTTAGCCTGGGGATACGCGACCGATTCCTTGGTGTGCTAGATGTTATGCCGCCGGCAGAACTCCGCGAATGGCTGACATTCAAATTGCCGACCGTTGTTGCTGACCAAGTGTTCAGGAATGCCAAAACCACAGATCATCTTTTTCCACAGGAATCGTCGACATTGGTTTTCAGTGATGGTGACCAGCGGCTCGGCTTCCACCCACTTCGTGAAATAGTCGATTGCCACCACGCAAAACTTGAATCGTCTAGGTGCCAGCAGTAGTGGGCTCAGCAAGTTGATTCCCCACATGGCGAATGGTATGACGGTCGACACCGGAGTGTAGAATATGGTAGGTCGAGTATCCTTCTGGGCGAAGGCTTGGCATATAGCACATTTGGCAATCCACTCCACGCAGTCTCTCATCATGGTGGGCCAATAATAACCCTAGATGACTAATTTCCGTGCGAGGGTATGTGCGCCTTGGTGAGCGGCGCATATTCCCCAGTGCGCCTCTTCCATTATCATCTCAGCCTCTGGCCTCAACAAGCATCTAAGAAGGGGCCCTCCGAACGACCTTTTGTACAATCGTCTGTCGATAACATCAAAGGAGGGCGCCTTCCTTCGAACCCGGGCAGCGACGATTGGATTATTGGGCAACTCTCCCTTCTCATTGTAGTTCTGGATGTCCTTAATCCAGAACATCTCGGGGTTGTTTTTGCGATCCCAACTTCCCATCATCAGTTGCTGGACCTCGTCCCCCGACTTGCTGATGCTCGGCCGCTGTACTTCTTCCTTTTGGCAAATCCTCAATAGGTGGTCGGGTATTCCCCCTAAAGTGATCTTCGATAGTATGTCCGCTTCGGTGTTTTCCGCCTTTGGGATGTGATCAATTTCATGGGCAGCGAACCCTCGTAGGAGCTCTTCCGTCTTACCTTTGTATTGCAATAGTCGGGCATTCTTTGCCTCGCAAGTTCCGGAAACCTGTCCAACCACGAGGCGAGAGTCGGTCTTGATACGCAACTAGCAGGCTCCCAAGGCTCTGGCAAGTCGGATGTCGCCTAACATGGCCTCGTATTCAGCTTCATTATTAGAGACCTTGAACTGGTACTCCAAGGCGCAGTACAATCGAAATCCTTCGGGCCTAATTAACATGACTCCGCCCCCGCAGTGCTGACTACTTGTTGCTCCATCTGCGTGTAATTCCCACCATTCGCCCTCAATGCCGGGCGAGGTCGGGGTCTCTTTGGTTTCTCCGGCGGTGCACTCGACCAGGAAGTCTGCTAGGGCCTGTCCCTTGATAGACGGCTGAGGGAGTTATCAATCCCGTATTGTGTCAACTCCACGACCCACTTCACCAATCGGCCCAACGATGTGGGGTTGCGTATCAAGCCGCCCAAGGATAGGTCCGTCAAGACGCGAATGGTGTGCGCCTAGAACTAAGGCGCCACCTTCCGCACGGTGACAATCAGCGCGTACACCACCTTCTCCAAGGGGGTGTATCGTGTCTCGGCAGATTTCAGGGACCTGCTAACATAGTAGATCAGATACTGGACTCGCTCCTCCTCTTGGATAAGTACGGAGCTAACGGCCCTGTCGGACGCGGCAAGATATAGACGGGAGGCATGGAAAGTACGGGAGGCGTCGAGAGATACCTTTTCAGTTCTCCCAATGATTCTTGGCACTCGGCCAGGTCCCGAGCGTAGCCTGATTCTTCTTGAGTCTTAACCAGCATGTCGTCAACGTAAGCCACCTTAGATTTTTCCAATAGGTCCTGGAATAATCGAGCAACCATCCTAGTGTACGTGGCTCCCGCATTCTTTAAGCCGAAGGGCATTCCTCGGTAGTAATACACACCATCTGGGGTGATAAATGTCGTCTTCTCCTCGTCGGCCTTGTGCATGTAGATTTGGTGATACCCACGGAAAGCGTCCATGAAACTCAATAGGGCTGACCCTGCTGTCTCGTCTACCAGCTGGCCGATCCTTGGTAAGGGGAAAGGATCCTTTGGGCAAGCTTCGTAGTCGACACACATCCTCCAGGCAGGCGGTTTGGGCACTAGCACTACATTAGCCAACCAATCCTGATATTTCACTTCTCGGATGTGACCGGCTACTAGCAATGTGTCGACCTCCTTTTTGACAAACTCGCGTCAATCGTTCGCTAAGTACCTCTTTTTTTTAACCACAGGTTGATGGCCAGGGTCCACTGCGAGTTTATGAGATATGATAGATCGATCCACGCCCGGCATGTCTTCCGGCCCCCAGGCAAAGACCAACCTATTCTCACGGAGCACCCGTACAACGTCTGCCCGAACCTTCTCCTCGAGGCCGACCCCAATCCGCACTCGTCTCTCGGGTCGGTTGGGGTCGATCTCTACTTCCTCTAGCTCGACTGCGGGCTCGGGCCGTGGGGGTGCCGTTTGCTTGACGGCCTGCTCTATGATTTCATGCACCCGTATCTCACGCTTACTCATCCGCCGATAAGCTTGCAGTTTGCACTCGCGGGTGGCCCCTCTGGTCGCAACGAGCTGCCCCTATCCCGGTCGGCGTGCGAAGCTTCATGCACTGGTGTTCGATGGAGATAAGCGCTCCGAGGTCCTCCAAACCCGGTCGCCCTAGGATCACGTTGTGCGAGCACGCCATGTCCACCACGATGAACTTCATGTCTAACTTTCGCACGTTCTGATAACTACCGATCTCTACGGGTAGGACGATAGAGCCCTCCGACTCTATGGAATCTCCCGTGAAACCGGCCAATGGTGTCTTTACCGTAGTCAACTGCTCCCGCGTCAGACCCAGCTTGGTGAAGGTCTCCAGGTATAGAATGTTGACACTGCTCCCAGTGTCTACCAGGACTCGCCGAATGACTATCCCACTTACATTCATTGTGATAACTAACGCGTCCTGATGCGGCATCTGGCTAGAGGGTAAATCCTTGTCCATGAAGGTGATTGGTTCCCGACATACCTTCTTGGAGCTACTCTCCCGTCCGTACGCTGTTCCGACGTACAGCTTTCGAGCCCACATCTTCCGCATGTTCGATGAGTCGCCCCCCACCGGGCCGCCGACTATCATGTTGATGACCGGCTTCTGCTTCCATTGGGCCTCTTCTTCTGCCGATGACGGGCACTTGCCACATTCCCTGTCTCCTGACCTGGAGGGGTCGTCGCTTGCTTTGGCTTGTGACGCGGCTTTCCTTTGCCATTCGTTGGTAGGCTAGGCGCCCTGCTGTATAATTTCTTCCACAATTTTGACTTGTGTGCTGTGAGTATATGACTGGTGGTAGCGGTAGTATTTGACTGCTTTGCCAGTATCCATCCCATCAGGGTGTCCGTTTGGTGGAGATGGCGATGGTGATGCGTCCTTCTTGAATTCGTGCACCGGGCGAGAGCGATGCGGTCGGTAGGGGTGAGCACTGGACTTATCGTAAGAACGCATCCTGTAACACCCCGTGTTACGGCCTCTAAAACCAATTAATTATTTAATCATTTACCCAAAACAAAGAATTAAATTTCATTAGTTAATTAGGAAAGGTCCACCATAGTCCATGGGCCCTTATCCCTAAAGCCAATACCTTAGTCCTATAGGAAACAGAAATAGAAAAGCCATACCACTTAGACCCTAATTGGACTCTTAGATATATATATAGGGACATAGGAGGCACCTAGAACTCACACCACAATAACTTTCACCACACAAGAATTCCCCAAGAATTCCCATAGGAGAAATCAAGAAAGAAGAAATCTTAAAGAAAGACCCTTCATAGCCAAGGAAATTAATTAAGGCTAAGAAGTAACCCATGTCTCAATAAAACCTATTTTCTTTGCTATGATCTCCTTCTTTGGCTCCCTCTATATACTTGTGTCTTGATGAATTTCTTTATGATATTTGTGATATAATCTTGATTGATTGAAGTGATGATTTTATGAGTGATCTTGATGATCTTGATGTTAAAAAGAGGTTCTTGATATTTATGTGATGATTCTTGACAAATCTTGATAGTTCTTGATGATAAAAATAAAATATGATTTTGATGGCTTGGGTAGGATTAGAGCCCTAGGTTGGATTGGTAATTAGTATTGAGATGTTCTTGATTTATATTTGGGTGGGAATTCACATGTTCGGGTGTTGTTTATGTTTAGACGACATGTTAGGATTTGTTCAATATGATTCTTGCTTTTGATCCATTAATTGCCTACGTGGTGTCGTTATTTGCGTTTAAAAGTGTCTAAGCATGGTTTCGGGTTCCACAGAGGATCCCGGGATGTTTGTTGTGTTAAGGAGTCAGTGGGGGTAAGGGAACCCGCCACCTACCCGCTGCCCCAAAGAGCATCACCGGCAACGGATAGCCGGGGCAGGTAACTGCCCGCCGGGCACTCGCTGCTAGGAAACGCGTCGCCAGCGGGCAGCTGGCGGGTGGCCCTCCACCCACCGGCTACCCGCTGGTTTGTCATGCACCCCGGGTCTTTGGCTTCCCCGTTTGATGTTCCCCATTCCCTGTGGTGTCCCAACGGACCCCGTTTTTCATGCTTGAGTCTAGTTTGATGTTTCGGGTGCCATTCGTAGTATAAAAGAGTGTTAGGAATTGCATGCCAGTTGAATCGGTAACCCGTTGACCTAGGTAGAAGTTGTATGAACCCCTTAGGACTACTCTTAGTATGTGAATGATCACAGGTAAGTTTATTTATACACCTCCCCCTTCCCAACGTGCTATTATGTGCTACAACATGTTATGTGATGCATGATTCCCCAATTTGGTTGCGATCAAATTAGCTGTACGGGTAGTTGGATGAGTTGAGAACCATACAAACTGTTAACCAGGCCGGTTGCGATCGGTCAGGTATATAAATATTATATAGGGCTGCGGTCCACTGTTTGGTTGCGATCAAACGTTGTACATGAGCTGCGGTTCATTCTCCTGGCTGCGGTCAGTGATTCACTTCTTGGGCTGCGGTCCACATGGGCCTCGTGTGCTATGACCCACCGAACTGGACGCGCCAGGCGGTGTGTAGGGCTAATAAGCCCTAGGAAGGCCGTAGTCCACCGAATGAGCAATCAGGCGGTGTATAGGGCTACGGCTGGCTGCGATCCACCGAGTGATGGGCCAGCGGTGTGTAGGGTCGTAGTCTCCGAGGATCATCGCCCACCGACTGCGTCCCTCAGCGGTGTGTAGGGCTTGATCCGCTACGATCCACCGACTGTGCTCGTCAACGGTGTGTTGGATCGAAGTCCCCCCTTGTAAAAATGATCACAGTACACCGACTGAGCGCGTCAGCGGTGTGTAGGACTGTGGTCCGCCGCTGAGTTCGTCAGCGGTCTTTAGGGTTGGTTGCGATCAACTCCCTTCATGCTGCGGTATGAGGTAGGGTGCTGCGGGGCCGTGTTAGTGCTATATGCACTAACCCTCATGTTCGGGGCATGCGATTGGTCTCGTGGCGCCATCAAAGTGTGCTTGTCTGATATGAACGATGATTGGATGATGATATGATTGATTTGAAAGTGATCTGTGACCTTAGATGCGTATTCTTTATGATGACTGTCTCTACTTAACTGTTGTCATTGATTATTGTGTTTGCCCCTATTTGCTGAGTCTATTCCTGGTTTTAAACCTAGAGTCTCCTAAGTATATATCTTCCTGCTTCAAAATGGTTTTCCTATATCATATATATCTACCTATATTGTATTTCAACGCGTTGGAGTGGGTTACCAGCATCATTCGCTGAACAGATATATTTGGCTTTCAGGCACAGATGAGTAGACCCCGGAGCGCGCTAGAGATCCGAAGCATAGATTAGTTAGTTTCCCTTTCGGCCTGCGTGCCATATTTATGTATTGCATTGAGGATAGTTAGTTAGTTAGCCTGTGCATCCAGGTTCTCAAGCTCAGATGTGGCATAGCACCCCACACTCTTATGTTTGATTTTGGGAATTAATGAGAGTTCACCTTTATTATATAAGTTTTAAAAGTTTTAAAATTTCAGGGTGTTACAGCTGGTATCAGAGCCTATGTTGACCCTAGGATAAGACTCTTAAGACCAGATTTTAGGACATTCGGCTTAAACTCTAGGAGTTCAGGAACATAGGATTTAGGAATCATAGGACGCGTAGTGAGATTGTGAAACCCCTAAATTTTCCCTCACCCTAATTCGCACTTAATTTAAAAGAACCTCCACCTACACTCTTAGCATCAAGGTCAGGATGCAAAATAATATCGGCCTATAAACCCTCAGGATGGCACCGACAAGGAAACAGGCAAAAGCACCGGGACTCCCCACACAAGAATCCTTGATTCAGAATGTACAACGTCTGGCCCAAGTTGCCCAGACACTAAGCAACACAGTCCCCCAACCTTCACCACCAAACAGAAACTTGGAAATCCACCACCAAATCTCAGAACACCGACCACCTACCTTATCGGGGGATGAGAACCCCACAATTCTTGAAGAATGGATCGGAACCTTTGACAAAATATTCAGAGCAACGGGATGCCCAGAAAACTACCAAGTAGAAATGGCCTCCTTCTACTTAAGGCACGAAGCCGACATCTGGTGGGCCCACAAGAAACCCAGTTGCGAACGAAGCCCGGGATTCAACTGGGAGGTCCTAAAAACACGATTACGAGAACGATTCTACCTCAGTCACGTGAAAACAACCATATACGAAGAGTTCCTCCTTCTAAAACAAGGAGCAACCCCAATTGCAGAATACTACCGGTAGTTCCTCAAGCTAGCTCGCCTCACACCTGAACTGGTACCTATGGAGTCAATAAAAATCGAGAAATTTATAACGGGCCTCAACCTCGAGAACCAGAAGGCCCTAACCATACGAAAACCAAGAACTCTCAAAGAAGCCTATGCCAAGGCATTCCAACTACAACAAACACCAAGCAAGCCACAGGAAATGCACCTGGGACACAAAAGAAAAATCGAAGGAAACCACCCAAACCCCCTACGGGAGCCAAAAACCGCCAGAACCACCTCACCCCACGAAGCCATAACACCAACCCCCACAAGGCAGGGGGGCGCCACTCAAGG